ATTTCCAAAGACATCCTTGGGAGGCTTGCTGGCTGAGAAAAGTGAGACAAAAGGAAGACTGAAGGAGGGGGGGGGGGGCGCAATCCAAGTAGTCCACTGGCAATGAGGGAACAATGTCAGTTATACGATGTCGATTGACTCCTTAGGTATGATTATCTACATGTTTGCCTCCTTCGATTCTTTGTCAAAGGTTAACTGGAGGCATACTGTACATTCCTCCGTCACACCATGTGCAGTCTAGCGGCGGCTTGATACGGCAGCAAGTGTGCCACCGGTCACAGTAATTTTCTTCGCAGCCCAAATAATCATACCCTTGATGAAGGCTCGGAGGCCTTGATGCAGTGGGTCCTAGGAAGATGCTCTTCTGCAGGAGGAGTCTGAGCAGCCCTACACTTCTGATGACAAGCACACCCAGTGCCCCCTCCTTTTCCTCTCGTGGGTCTCACTGAAAGAGAGCATTGTCTACTGGATTCATGCGATTATGATTAGCTCTCCCAAGGCGGTGCCGATTTCACTGTTATCGGCTTTCCGAGTGCTGTGTGGATTTCCATCTCGCAGTTCGAGGGATTCCCCCTACCATGCTGAGGAGGGCTGGCGTGGGAATTATTTCATACAAAGAAAATTGGCATCGAAAAATAGGGGCAGCCTGACCAGCTTTCAGGCAGTTTCTCTGCCTGTGCGTTGACACCAGGCATTGGAGGTGACGTGGCGCGGGTGTGAAGTTTCCTTCCCTGGAACTTGATTGCACCTGCACTTCCCAGGCTTCGACTTGCACTTATGGGTGCGTTCAGTTGCGAGTTTTGGTAACAATTGACCGAGGTGATTAGCTTCGGACTCATGCCAAATTTCTGTTCATGCTTGCCGGAACCGCCAGTTCAACGTTCTCGGATCATACAGTTTGAATCCCCAACGGGTCGGGGTCCTTTTCTTTCTCCTTCCCCTTCCTTTTGTTTTTCCTTCTCTCAATCTCAACGTGACCTTTCTGAATGGAAATTGATTCTAAGTCTCAGCGTCGATCATTGTACTTCTTCGGTATCTAGGCCATAGCAATGTTGATGACATGGGATGGGAACGGGCAGTCGACGATTTCCTCTTCTCATCACTGCCCCCCTTGTGCCCACGAGAACCTCCTTTCATTTGTTGCCCCCTATCGCCCCGCCCCCCCCCCCCAAACGAAAAAAAAAAAAAAAAGCCCTTCGCGTTACACCTAACAGGTGACCGTGGCAGGTCTTTCAACTTGCAAAAGGCTTGATTTCGAACCCTGAGTGGAGGAGATGAATGCCTTGTCACAACGTTTCGAAGGGAAGGAGCTGGGCTGAGCCTTCATACTCGGTGTAGTGCAATGTAATCACACGAGCCCTGCCGAAGCAATGATCGGACTGACGATAGGCACTTGTTGGTGGCACCTGTGGTAACGCGTTGATCACATCCACTATAGAGGACTAATTGCTCTGAACCTGGAGTAGTCTCATTCTCTAATTAAAAATATCTAGCATCTGTGTGAGTCCGACCGTTACGCAGCTATATAGGCCATAGTCCCCTTCCAGTCAGCTGGGAGTGGTCACTCCTTTTAGCTGTCGCATAGCATCTCTCTATGTTCCCTTGTCTCTTGACCTTAATAACAGAAGCCTTGAGGCTGAATGTTAGGGTCTACTTCACCCTCTTTAACTTTCTCTGCCTCTTTGCATAGTGAGTTGCCATGTTTCAAGCTCTCAGTCGGCATATATGATCTGTAGATCGAGTTGCCTCGAGAATATAAGCCAACCTCCAAACAACCCGCCCCCCCCTCCCCCTGATGTTACTCTCTCGTGATAGTGTCCGAGTTTAGGTACTTGAACCAGAGTAATTAATTATTCAACCATCAAAATAGGCCTATACACCAATTGTCTCTGCTGAAGAAAGGGTTGACTTGGTAATATTCAGGTTTTGAATTACAAATCAAAGGCATAATACCTCACACTGGTATACAAACCTTTTAGAGCTGTGGTTTGAATGCGCCAGACAGACCTGTCGTTCAGATAATAGTGGATTGTCTTGGTCAATCAAATATTGCTTGTTGTAGAAGGAAACCTGTCAAATAATTCTGCAGCCATCTCTTTCTTTGCTTCATTTGCCACTGTTTCACGGAGATACCCAGATCTTGCCTTCTTTCATGACCCTTTTCCTTTATTGTCTGTGATTAAATTTAAAATCTATTTAGGAGTATTTTCTTCTCTTTCGGGGAAAGGGGAGGGGGTGTTGGGAGGGTAGTAGGCTGGGGCCCCTAACTGTGGTCCTTCCGCGCCTACTATCTACACCCGTTGCAACCCCACTTCCCGCAGCGCATCGCGTACTTCGAAGACGACGCGCTGCAACGCACGTTAAGGCATTGCAAGCAAATCTATCAAGCGCAACATGAAAGAAGAATTTGGCCTGCAGCGCCGTTAATCAATCACACACTGGCAAGCCCCGCCGCTACCACTACTACCATGCCCTCAAACGGCGACATCCGGTCTTTCTTCTTCACCAAATCACGAGCAGTCTCGCGCGTCTCGTCTAACCCACCAGCACCACCACCGCGCCGCGCCACTGCCGCCCGAGCACCGCCTCCAGCATCACCGTCACCATCGTCGTCATCCTCCCATTCCTCTTCTCCCCTTGATCAGGCCCTCCATGCCGCGCCGTCACGAACACCTTCGTCGTCCCCGGGCGTACACACCCCGCCCACTCCGCTTCCCGCAGGCGCTGCCTCTCTCACACCCTCCCCATCGGCCGCCGCCCGGCCCCGACAGATTTATGCACATGACGCCGTGATTGACGCATCTGACGACGACGATAGCGACTTCTACGAAGAAGACGGGCTCGGAAGCGACGGATCTGACCTCTCAGACATCCTTGGCCTGGGCACGCCGTCAGGGTCACGACGGGGACCGGCGGATGATGAGTCCAAGGTGGTGGGAACAACAGCAAGACCGAGCGGTGTATGCGTGACGCCGCGGGCCAAGAGGACGCTTCCAGACAAGGCCTTTTTCTTCTCGACCCCGCTGACAATCCGGTCAAAGAAGAAGAAGAACAACAAGAACAAGAGATACGACCTGGGGAGCCTGCTGCAGTTGAACGAGACGGATGACGATACAATCTCGAGCGCGAGGAGGTTCGAGACTCTGTTGAAGGGCGAGAAGAAAAACCTGCAGGCGCGGAGAGATGGTGCTGCTACTGCCGCTACTGGAAAGGCCCTTGTCGTCGTGAAGCAGGACGAATCTCAGCCCCAAAAGACCGAAGATGACGGCGACGAGGACGAGCGGAGGAACAAGGCAGCTCAGCAGTTAAAGAGGCGAATGATTGAGTCTGCTGCTGCGACTGCCGCTGCGACCGCCGACGAGAGCGAAGGAGGGGCCACCGGCAAGATGCGGGTTGTCAGGGCCTTGGACAGGGCGAATGTCAATGCTGGCAGCAGGGAGTACTATTTTCTCGAGCAGACGGAGCCCGAACCTGAGTCCCTCCTCACTGCAGGCAACCCGTTTCCTTACGAAAAGGCCAAGGGGGCCTGGCAGATCCTCGCAGACAAGCAGGACCGCAGCATGCATTTCCAGAGCGGGTTTCCGTACGATGTCCAGAAAATCCTTCGAAACATGCCGGATGAAATCTTCTTTTGGTTGTTGTACGAGGTCTGCCGTGAGAGACGAAGAGATCTGACAGAAGAGTACGTGAAGCTGCTGCACATCTGCGACGACCAGGTGCGCCAGCTTGTTACGCCTGGCCTTCTACAAGCTCTGTCCCGGAAATTTGGCGCAACCAAGGACGTGGAGAACCTGCTATCTCCTGTCACGCTCAGGGACGCCATCGACGATCCTTATCAAGACTGGAGGTGGACACGTCTTGAGACCTTTCTCAAGCTTCTGCGGAGCATTTCGCATTCCATGAACCCAGAAAGCCGGGCCACGGCAATGCAGATCCTTTTGCGTCTGGGCATGGACCACGTCGCTCTTCAGAACTTTGGCCTCGCGCAGGACTGGCAGTTGACGGCGGAACTCGTCGCCCGCAGCGTGCCGGGCGAGGAGTGGACCAATTTTGTAAGTAGCCTCATGACTGTCTTGCCATTGCCGCAGTCACATTTTGCTTACATATACTCTTCTCCCTTTCTTAGTGCCGAGAAGTCTGTGCATCTATCTACCAGAGCACACCAAAGGCAGCCTTCCGATTGCGGGCTATTTCTCGCCTCGGTCCTTTCCTACAACAGGACGACTTCGCGTCTGACCTGGACGGACGTATTCTCGACCTCAAACGTCGGCTTGCGTCTGCTTTCTTTTTCGACGACGTGGCAAGAGTCGATCAGCGACTGGAGGACACGGCCAACTTCGGCGCTGTGATGGGCCGGCTGCAAGAAGAAGAATTCGCTGTGCATGCAGGGACAGACTACGTCGAGCTGAAGGCTCTCATGCTTCTACTTAATACTGCCCTGGGCGGAACGTCCGAGGACGAGTACACGCTCACGGCGGCGGAAAGCCGGGACTTTGAAGCGCAGGTCGACAAACTGGCGCATCATTTGAAGAACCTGGTAACCCGGGTGGCGCCACCGCAGAATAAGGGAATCCACGTCTCGAGAATCGAGGCCAAGAGTGCCATAGAGGTGGCACGTGAGAGGCTGTTGTACCAGGTGCGGGCCAGGAAGCCGCCTAAGATCCAGGGCATCCGTCACGAAAAGATGAAGAGAAAGGATGATACGGCAACACAGCGGGAACAGCAGGAGTTCATGAAGCATTTCTTCCTGAGCGATGATCAAGTTGAGATGGAGAGCCAGGAAGTCCGCACGGCCAGCATTAACATTGAGACGGACCTGGTGGTTTGATACCTGCGCTGGGCCGGGAAGGGGGGCACGGGCCCGACTTGACGAATTATGAAACTGTACATGTACAACGATCCTGTATGCCTACCACCTTGGAAGCCGGACTTACAAGTGTTCCTTATATGTAGCCAATGGACTGGGATGGAATACCACCCAACGAACACACACAAGCAGACAAGAGGAGGTCCCAAGCCTTTTTTCTTTTTCTTTCTCCCGCTATGTTAAATGACCAAACATGGAATGATAATAAAAAACAAATTCAGATACAATGCACGTATGCATACCCAGTGTGAGGTATATCTCTCTATGTCTAGTAGTAGTGGGCCTAGTCGAAGAACTTGCGGTTGGGGTTTGCGCCGAACAGGGTCTTGCGCATAGCTGGTAGGGCGCTGTCCTCGAGCAGCACCAGCCTCGCCTCGAAGGTGTTGTCGATCTCGATCTTGCCGCCTCCACCAATGATGAACACACCGCCAGCACTGTGAGTGACAACAACAACAGCCTCGTGTGTTAGCAGATCATGTCCAGGATCTCAACCTTTGTATGGCGACGGTTTTCCACCAGCTCGGTCAAAACGGGGAGGGCGCGGGGGTAAAACTTGGATGTCCTTACCTTCCCTCCGGCAGAGGATTCTTCTCGTCAATCTTGGCCTTGCACTCCTTGCCCACGTTCTCCTTATACTCGGCGGCAGCCTTTTCGCTTGCCTTGTTCACGGCATCGAAATCTACCTTCCGCGCCCGCAGCACCAACTCGGGCTCGTTCATGGCATACATGCCCTCGAGCACCAGACCCTTGAGCGTCGCGGCGTACTTGTCCCCATCACTGGTGCCCTCGGTGGCTAGCTGCTTACGGGCGTCCTCGAAGATGTCGTCGAGCAGCTCCTGCCGGGCGGCGAGGACCTTGAGGCGGGTCTTGTTGGCGACGGTGGACCGGGTGATCTGCTGGGACATGGTGGCCTGCTTGAACTTCTTCTCGTAGGCCGTGTCGATGGAGTCCGTCTCCTGGCGCACCAGCTTCGACTTCTCGATGGCGAACTCCTCGTCTGCCTTGATCTCGATCTCGCGGGCCTTCTCGGAGGCTTCTTGCCGGATGAACGCCGTCATCTTGCGGAGCTCCTGTCCGACCTGTTTGATGTTGGGGCAGTAGGTGCATAGGTCAGCCTCTGTCTACGAATGCGGGAAGCTTGGACAAGAGTGTGGTATCGCACGTACCTGATCGTCGGACAACGCGTGGACTTGCGACATCTTGGGCGGTGGTTCTACTACGGCTGCAGATAAGGAGGTGCGAGGTGAATGACGCTGAAGAAGGCCTACGAGCTCGTTGCTCGCAAGGACGCAGGGGCGAGAAAGCTTCCGGAGGGAATTCTAAAAAGCCTGGGCGGGGAGAGGGGGGTGGAGTGTTGGGAAGTTGTTTCGTTAACGGTGTTTGCGAGGGTTGTTGAAGGTGCGTGAGATGTACAAGAGTACGTAGTTGAGAGAGCGAGCTATCTTTGGAAGGCTTGGTGGATCCTACGCCTTGGGTAGTGGCTTGTCGCCATACATAGCACACAGCAGCTCCGACACCGTCACTCAATGACGAACCGTCAGCTTCCCAGCTGCAGGCCACTTACTAGCCACACGGCACCCCTCCTCATAGTACTGCAGTTTGGGGCTGGGGTGGCTTGCCGGCGGCAGTGGTGGCTCCTTGAAAGCTCCAGCGTCTTCAGAGGCTGCAATGGGCCCCCGCAGTGGCCGGTCCAGGCCTGAGCAAGCTAGAGAAACTGCTGTCGTACAGCATACCGCCCTGTGGTAAGGCGCTGCTGCAACCAGTCAGCCAAGTGCTAGCAACGCCCCAGTAGCTGGGGCTGCACCGGCTCTTTTCAGCACCGCAACTCTAGTGATTGGCCACCTCATGATTGGCCTGGAGGGACCGTTGACGCAGGGACCGGGAGAAGCGCGAAAGCGGCGGCTTTCAGGCACTGATGGGACGGCTTCAGCATTGACTCAAGACCTGGGATATGCCTGTGTGCACTTGCATGGAACGGTCACGGAAGCACATCACCTGCTTGCGCATCACGACGACTCGTTCTCCTTTTGTATATGAGAAAGTAGTAATTAACCAATCCCACCCACCCTCTTTTTTCATGTCTCAAATTCCTTTTCATCTTCAGACTTACACAAACCACCCACCGATCTATCTCCCTTGGGGCCATAGTTCCTGTGACCCGCCCTGACCAGTCGACGACCGACCTGGCAGCAGACCCGCGGCATCTCAGCACTCCGAAACAGACCACCCATCTGTCCAACGCCCCCCCGGCCCCTTAGAGGCCCGCGGTCGTGAGGTCATCCTCCCAACATCATCTCCCACGGTCTACAGCCACCGACTGCTACGCAACCTCCTCAACCCACGATCCTCCTCAACGAGACCAAGACCTTTCGAACAGCGCTCGAGGTAGATCAAGTACCAGTAGCGATTATCAGCTGTGTGACTGCAGTCCCGACCTGAACTGCTTGGCTGCATGCCAGGCGTAGGTGCGAGGACTCGAAGAGACCCGGCGGGATCTCCTCGAAGCTCCTTGACGACCGACACGCATAAGCCTGATCCTCGACGAGCCCTCCCAATTCTGCGTCAGCGACGAACCTCGCCAACAACACATCTGTCATCCTTTCCTCCTTGACAGATCATCCTCCACTGGCAGATGCCTCCCTGTGTGACTGCATCCGCGCAATGGGGTCACTCGGTGGGATGTCCCCTGGCGGGAGCATTGCGGTGCGTACTCGGTGCAGCAGCGAGGCTCTATGATGAGGGACCACGAGCGCGGTGTGTGCAGGACTGACTTATCGCCTCTTGTGTACAGCTCGGAATTATAGTCGGATTGATATCGACCAGCGTCCAGAGCCTTGGTCTCACGCTACAGCGCAAATCGCACATCCTCGAGGATGAGAAGGGACCACACGACGTGCGAAGACCGCCACACCGGAGGAGAAGATGGCAGCTGGGGATGGCCATGTTTATAATATCAAATCTCCTGGGGAGCACGATTCAGATCTCGACATTACCGTTGCCGGTCCTTTCAACACTCCAGGCGTCGGGCCTGGTCTTCAACTCGATCTGCGCGACACTCATACTGGGCGAGCCCTTCACGAGGTGGTCATTATGGGGGACCTTGTTGGTCTGTATAGGTGCTGTGATGATCGCGATCTTTGGAGCCATACCTTCGCCGACGCACACCCTGGACGAGCTGCTGGAGCTGCTGGGGAGGCAGGCCTTTGTGCTGTGGATGGCGCTGCAGGTCGTGCTTGTGATTGCCATTTGCGTATCCGTCGATGTTGCGAATCACTTCCTCAAGCTGTCACAGAACCCGCGGTTTCGCCTCCTCCGTGGTCTGTCATTCGGCTGCGTCAGCGGTATACTATCCGCCCACTCGCTCTTGGTGGCGAAGTCGGCCGTCGAGCTTCTGATCAAGACACTTGTGGATGGACAGAACCAGTTTGTCCACTGGCAGGCTTGGGTGATCGTGCTGGCCCTCATCACCCTCGCCCTGACGCAGCTCTACTATCTACACCGAGGCCTTAAGCTGGTCTCGACGAGCGTCCTCTATCCTTTAGTCTTTTGCATCTACAACATCATAGCTATCCTCGACGGGCTCATCTACTTTGACCAGACGGAGCTGATCAGCCCGCTGCACGGGTGCCTGATAGCACTGGGCACCGTCATCCTCCTTTCTGGTGTCCTTGCCCTGTCATGGAGACTCAGCGACGAGCAGCACACCCCCGGTGTTGGACAATCTTCTCTGGCACCCGGTCTCGGGCTCGTGGAAGACACTGATGGCGAAGAGGACGAGGAGGAGGAGGGACTCCTTTTGGGAACTACTGGAGACGAAGATGACATCCTTCCTACGACCTACAAGTACAACACCTTTGACAATTTCGAACGAGACACAGTCCGGCGTGGCAGGCCAGATCCCCTACCTCTCGGAAGGTCTTCGGCCAAGATGAGCCGCAAGAGGGCCTCGTTTGTGCAGCCGCAGTGGCAAGAGAGGCGGGAGATCTGGGGCGAGCTGGACGACGAAGAGACTCCCTACTCGCCCGTGCCCAAAAACATGGGCAGATTACGATCCAAGACTCTGCCTGTGGGCGATGGGCCTCTCCTTGTCTCCCGCCAACGACAAAACCTCGACAGCCCCCTTACCGACGGGCCTGCTAGCGGCGACCGGCCACCGCGGTCATCTAAGTCAGACTATCTCCGTCTGCGCAGAAAGTCCACCGGGTTCCCGGGCTTTACTGCCCGCCGGACAACCCGCAGGAAAAGCGTAGGAGGTGGTGTTGGTGGTTTGCAGGGTGCTGTAGGCGGCATCTCAAGGTGGTGGCGAAGCAGACACAACAACTCATCCGGAGACCTCCTCGCCCCACCGCTCAGCTCAACGGAGTACCGCGACGGAGAGGAGGGTGCGGTCGCATCACCTGCGCTCGGCGTCTATCGCGATGAGCCGCCGCCGCCGCCCACCCCACAGCCCGGTCCGCCGGCTAGCTCCAGTGAGGATATGGTTACGGGCAAGAGGAGAGAGGATGATTCCGCCGTATAGAGAGATGGTTGATTGATGCCTACCTGGCTTTGCTTGTTTGCTTCATGGGCTTTCGGAGACAATACTGCGGGTTGACAGCGTGTCTATGGCGTTTCGATTGGCTTTTTGTTTGTTTGAAAAAAACCCGGTCTCTTGAACAACTTTGGGTTTGAGGGCTCATCGGGTTGGGTTTGAGGGATCATCTGGTTGGGTTTGGGTATGACGCGATATACCATAGATACACACACACACACACATATATACATACACGGGATTGGATAACATAAATTTGATCAGTCTTACCCCCCTTCGACTTCGTTGAGCTTGACTAGATCGGATATCAGGGCTTCTCCTTTAGGATTACTGCTCCTACCAATGGTCAATTTGGCAAGTCAACTGAGGCCATTTGGAAGGTCCAACGTCTTTTCCTTTTCCATCATTGCAAATGCAGTTCATTGAACACGTAAGAAGTAACCAGGGGCAGGAGTTTGGGCGTGGTCCATTTCCAGACGCTGAGACGCATTGGGTAGCATGAGGCGTCACGCCCCAAGGTTTGGACGGCTAGGACGGCACGCGCGGGTTTTTTTCTCTGTCTCTCTCTTCTTTTTCGTCCGATTACTTACCTCACGCTCGCAAACCCTCTATCTATCTATGCAGGGCCCTAGAGGGTTACGGGGCGCGATGCCTCGGTTTGTTACCTTGTCTACCTCGAATCATGCATGTGCAGAGGAGGAGGGTGTGGGTGGTCGGCCGGCATCCGAGGCATACGTAGGCTTGCCTGGTACTATTATTAGGAGACACGTGAAGATATCTGTGGGGGGTTAGATCAGCAGGCGTCTTGCATTCTTCAAGTCATATGGATACCAAGGGAGAAGACAATGGAGCTTTCTTATTCAAAGCTGAGAGGGTCAAGGAGAAAGAAGAAAAAAAGAGGAGCTGTACACTACTACAACCTTCTATTCAAGTCTAACGCTCCATATCCTTATGTAGTGCCCAGCACATCTTGATGAAGAAGGGAGGGGACTCTCAACACACTAGATCAACAACAGAATAAAAGGTAGAGATATAAAAAAACCAAAAAAAAAAAAAACAACCGAAAGAATAAGACTGGTGGACGGGAAGGAAAAAGCCAGGAGCTGCGTGGTGGGGAGGTACCAGAGGGGCGAGGTACAAAGAAGTCATCGCCCCCTCCTAGACCCCGATGAACAACACGATCCCTCCAGTCTTTTCCGCTCTGTAGATCCAACCCTCACATCCCACATACGATCCAACCGCCTTTACCCTCCCATATGGGCGCCAACCCACCTCCTCGTTCCCTCGTGATGCATATGCGTCGTGGAACTTGTGCATTAAGTTTCTCCCCCTGTCTCAACCACCCAAAGACCATCCATCCATCCCCTCTTTCAATTTAGGCCCCATCTATCCATTGGGCAGGCTGTGTGGAAAGTTTCCCCTCTGACCAGATGCAAGAGTAAGACCAATTGAGTCAAAATTCTCCTCATCCTAACCATCAGAAGCACACCCTCCACTCGCCCACTTAGGAAACCAGGGGGGGGGGGGTTACGCTCTCTCTCTTCAGATCGACCCTGACCTGCCCTCGGCCTTGGAGTCGATGTACCTGAAGCGGGCGCGCTCCTTGCGGTCCTTGAGCAGGCACGCAGTGGCGAGAAGGAGCACGGCATCGATGCCAGCCATACCGAAGACGGCGGTGAAGATGTCGTCGACAAAGACGTTGGCGAAACTGGCAATCGGCGCAGCACAGCCTCGCATCAGGGCGGCGGCCGCGGGCGACTGGCACGTGGCGTCCGTGACGAAGGCGGGCGAGGTGCTGTTGAAGTAGCCGCAGCAGGTGAACTAGGGAAAGATCTCCATGTCAGCCAGTCAACCCATACACATGCATGTCAGGCACAAAACACGTACCGAAGTCTGCATCAGGTCTTGCACCGTCGAGGTCTGGGCATCCCATATAGGTGAAAAGGTCTCCTTGGTCCGTAGCGTGAGGATCCACATATACAAACCCAGGATGACGGAAAAGAGGGCGCTGGCGACGATGAAGTAGCTTGAGAGCTTGAGCCAGCCGCGGGTGGGCATCACTATGGCGGGGATAGTGAGGGCGAAAGTCACAAAGACCATGACGCCGTTGGCGATACCCGCTGCGATGTGATCATCTGTCAGCTTGCTTTTTTCTCTTCCATCATGTCCTCGTCTTTCTCTTTTTCTTCGTAATCCCCAATCCGGTATCCCCTCAGCGATCCGGTTCACGTACCTGTCAATGGGAACTCCCGGAAGAGGAGGTGCTCAACAGCCTCCGTACCATTCGTCGGCGCGTTGAACATGGTGTTCTGCGTGACGACGCAGAAGCCGACCAGAATTGCGCCCGTGACCGCGAAGGCCAAGTCGGCGGCCACATAGGCCCCCAGTACCTTGTTGACCATTTTTGCTTCTTTGTGCTAGGAATCGTGATGGCCTCTTTCTCCTTTGTCGTCCTTCTGGTCTCGCTACTACTACTACTGAGCAGTCCGAGGGAAACTGCTCCTCAACCTGTCCTGCTCTGGTCGGTCGGTCGGTCTTTCCGTCCGTCCGTCCGTCCGTCCGTTTGATTATACTTGACGACCTGCGTCACTATGATGATATTCGACGAAATAATGTGTTGTTCGTCGTCGTCGTCGGCGAGAAAAGAATGTAGGCGGTCTTGGCGTGTGAGTATCGTCCTGCGGGTCCTCCACCAGTGGCGAGACTAGTCCGAGCAGCAATGAGCGTGGTCGATACGACAAGAGAGAAACAAGAAGAGAACAAGAAAGCCCAGTCGGTGAAAGAATGATGGAAAGGGGTGGGAAAGTATGACTGAAGATGACGGCCAAGCGCCTATGGGTCCATGAAACTCTTGTCGAAGGGCTCGCAATCCTCCTATTACTTGAGTCTGCCTTGAAAACGAAGCCAAAACAAAGGAGAAAGGATGAAGAGGAAGCAAAGAAGGGGAAAAAGAAAAGAATTGAGAGGTGTAGCGCAAGACGATACTTGCAAGGGCTACCGTCGAGACCAGCAGAAACACGGCGGAAACACAGGTCACTCGACCCATAGAGCTCAACCTTTCCTTACCCAAATAAACTCGCTGAGGACTGCTTCAGAACTCCGACTCCTCCCCACCAGGACGAGACGGAGAGGCGTTACTCGGCTCTGGGGGGAATGATTACCATCACCTGTGTCCTTGTCCGTCCTTTCACGAACAGCGTTTGAGGATGGTGGCCGACGGCGGTTATGATTCACATCGTGAGGCAGCTGGGGTTTCAGGCCTGGGGTGAGATGAGGCGTGCAGGGGTCGTGGTGTAGTCCCAAACCCTGGCAGCCGCCGCCTTCAAGCCTGGCTCGCAGGCGGCTGATCGCCCAAAATCATTCGATCATCTCGGACGCTTGAGAGCACTCGATTTAGAACTGCAATCCAGCATCTCTCACCTCTGCAAAATGCAGAAAGCAAAACCATCATATGAGGGCATGAATATGGACCCCTCTTTTTTTTTTTCCCTTTTTCTTTTTTTGTTTGTGCTTGTATGTTTTTGAACAGCGCCAGGTGGCACGGCTGATTACGTAGGGCCTGGTCTGCCCTGCGGACGGAAGTGCTTCAACAAGGAAAGAAGGGGTTGCTGGCTGCGCACGCATCGTAAGCTGGTCAGCGCAGCCGCAGACGGACGGCCGGCCAATCATCTATGCTCGGCTACCCGTGCAGATGCTAAAGGTTCTCTTCCAAACTCCAGAAGTGTTCAAGATCGTCTCTCAAAAGAAACCCTCTTGGTGCCTCGGAAAGATCCTGGGGCTTGACACGTTGTCGACAAATCAAGATAGGTGACCGCATTCGGATTCCTATTCCTATTCCTTTCATTTGAGTGGGCTAGGTTTCAGGAACAGGAAAGGTGCCGAACTCGCCGTGGTATCGCTTCCGCGAGCAGTCAGCGCGGCCCCAGGGGCGCAGCCTGTGCTTCTCTTCCTCTGGCATGATGGATCGCCGCAGCGTGCCGACCTGCTAAACTACTTCTGGCCATGACATCCATAACCTAAAAGCCAAAATACTTGCAGAGAGCCAGATAAAAAGCCAGCTTCAAACCTCGCGGGAAGGCTTCATCTGGCGAGAAAGGCAGAAACCGATGGGCCTCTACTTGGCTGTCCAGGCGGGCCCCCCTTTTCTGAGCCTCATTGCTGTCAAGATCTCTCTCCCTCAGGTGCCAGAAGTACGCACGTTCTTACCTAGCTTATAATGATAGCTATGCTATATCCATATCTCTTTACCTGCTTGTTAGCAGTAGGGAATTAGTCCTCCCCATCAACATCGAGAATGGCAATGGTCATCGAGGAGGACGGCGATGCGCTCAGGCGGTCGTGAGGCAAGTTCTGAAGACGTCGTCGATGAATTCCATTTTGACAAGAGCAATGACGAGCCCGTACCACAGCAAGCACTGTAGAGACGGCTCGCAAACAGCTCGATCGGTCCAGGCCAGACGACCACGTGCCAAAGGCCAGGAAGCGAGATGGACTCCAAGGATGATGGGTAGATCAACGTAAGATTCGGTGTGGGTAGCAAGCCCGTCGGAAAGCCGAGCGAGGATCAGCAAAAAAGTAAAAACTCGGGGGGAGAAGAAAAAAGAAGAAAAGAAAAAAGAACTGGACATGGTCGTGTTACCACAGTACTATGGTACAGGCAGGACCCGAGGACCCATAGGCCAGAAGGCTATTCTCTGCACTCCTATCTGTGTTGATGAGCCCATCCATTCACTCGCCCGGACATCGACCCGCTGGGCCCGCATACAGGGGGCTTTGGTGGGTATACCATTCTTCCTTCCTCGACGTGATATGATGTGCGCTAGCAAAACAGGCCGGTAGCCCTGAGCGGGGGGGGGGAATGTATTAAGACGCTAGTAGGGACCAGGTGTCAGCCATCTGGCCAATAGCAGACGCAGTCATCTCCGTAGTAGGAAGTTCTTCGGTTTGCCCTTGCCCGGTTGCAGAAGTTCCTGCCATTCCTCTTTCGACAGAAGTGGCCACTTTCACCTGAAGGGAAGGCGCCAATGTCAGTCAGTCAGCCCGTCCATCATTGACTCCTACTCAGCAAATTGTTTGTTTGTTTGGTAAGAGCTCATCAGCTGTCAGACTTGTCACTCAATGGTGAGGTCATTAGCGTGCCCTTTCTTTCCTTCACAGGAATGCAGAAACCAGGGACGACCAAGCACTGGCATCTTGTTTTGATGTTCCCAATCAAGTCAATTAAGGTGCGTAGACCCCCTCCCGATCTACCCTACCAAAAAGACAGAGAAAGAAAGAAGGGAAAAAACCCCTTCTATCGATTGATCTCTCTTTCGCTCTCTCTCTCTCTCTCTCTCTCTGCGAGGACCCCCGCCTCCCCAGCAGAGCACAACAAAAAACCACACCCCATTTTCTACCCCTCCCACCTCTTGTCCAGTCTACATCCCGTAACGATCATGTCCATTTTTTCTACCACCAACAATTGATCATTCTGGTTCCAGTCATCCAAGCAAGCCTGTCCTTTAGCCCTCTCTAGACAAGGGTCCTTATTGAGCCTTTCATTCCTCAATCTGAAGGCTGTCGTTGTGTCTGCAACTTCCCTCTCTTGGTACTGCGCCAACCTTCTTCACCCAGGTTCTGCTACCAACCAACAGCCAACCAAACCTTTCGCACCTAAACAAAAAGACCATCACTAAACAGGAAAGAAGGTAAGCCAAATAGCAGCCCTTCCCCGAAGAGCATCAGGGACCACAGCATCATCCCTTCAGTGCATTCATCACCTGCCACCCTACTTGCTTTTCAGCCTTTTCAGCCTATCTGCAGGCCTAGCAGCAGCGTCTCCTCCCCGAGCGGATCCCGCCGATTCGCAGCCAGCCAGCCTCCCCACCTGCACAGTATGCTTGACGGTACCATGGCTAAAACCTTACAAAGGGCACTACAGCACAGAGAACCGCCACGCCCTCCACTCTAACGAGCCTGACCTTCCACTTGTGTTTTACACGACCTGCAGACCCAAGAAGCCTAGACCAACCCCGTTCTCGCTTCGAGACCCAATACCAAAAACCAGAACACCCGCAAGTACGGCCTCGACCAACCCCCCCCCCCCCCCGGGAGGTACAAGATCTGGATACGACGTCTCCAGCGAGATAAGGTCAGTCAATATTCGGGCACAATGATCATATCTCAATCGTGACATGGCAGGTCATGGTCAGACGCAAGCAAGCAGACGGATGAGCCTGTTGGTTCTCTCCAGCCTCCCCGCTCCCCCCCTTCTTTCCCTTTCTTATCTTTTCTTCCTTCTTCTCTCCTTTTGTTTTCCTTCTTTCCCCATTTGCAGCAGCAGCAGCAACAGTGAGGATGCCTCCTTCACGTAGAACCGGCAACGTGTCAACCCTACTCAGCTAGGAAGACCCTGTGCCCTCTCCGCCGAGTTCCACCCAGGCCACCCTTACCCGTTCTCGTTGTCATGTTTCTTTTTCCTTCAGACTTATTCCCCGGAAAATTTGTTTTCTCTGTGCGCGCGGCTTGCCTCAGGATGCCTGCAACCTCGGCTTTCCAAGGGCTAGTGCTCTGAGAAAAGGCCAAGGCAGGTGACAGAAAAGACTACTTCGACACATTACCCACTCCTCAAGGAACCACTCTTGTGGCCTTCAAAAACCCAGACAACAAGAGAACGCCAAATGACCGAGGACGGCCCCAGTCAGCAAAGGACCCTAGCTCAGGTACCGCTGGTACCACGTTGATGATCCTCCCAAGGACCACGGGAGCGTCTGGCGGGACCTCTGTGCGCAGCTAATCTTTGAGTTGACGCGAACCGATACGACGTGGTGCATACGGGGTACCACATCCCTGAACCCCAGCAAAGTGCCAGAAGTACACCAACAGCACCAGCAGCACCAGCAGCCGGCGCCACCACCCATTGATTGATTCTCTGGGATCCGAAATCGAAGGGAGGAAGATTGTGCAGATGGACCACACCCCCTGCATCATCCTCTTCTATCACTGCATCCAGCTCCACATCTCTTTGTGACGAGGGGGGTTACGTCTCTGGCACTACCATGTACTATTAGTATCGACAATCTTCTTCACGATCGGGCGAATAGTGCTTGCCCTCCCGTACCAGCCCTAGCAACCAAGCATGTCAAGGTCGCCTGCTCGCCTGCCTACTTCATGGGGCAGACGTCATGGTCAATAAGCAGGCGGGATCATCGACGCGACGACGCCTCCCCTAAGGGTCTCTTTCTCGGTGTGCGAGTGCTGGGGTTACTGGCTGACGCCACGAGGAGTGCTAAGGCGAAGAAGACCCACCATGCCACGCCCACATGGCCCACAGTACCACCAATCACACGCCAACACTGTCATCTTCCCCCGCTCCTCTCTACCCCGGTCACGTCGCAGCGGATCGCCCAGCTTGACGCCAATCTCTCTCTACCTTTGCACCTCGTCCGCCATGCTGGTCTCACACGGACCATGACCACCCCCCCCCCAAACAGGGGGTCCAGGCCTGGTCAGCCTGCGTCCCGGCTGCGTCTGCAATCTCCAGTTGGCAGGATCGTGGGGAGAGAGAGAGAGAGAGAGAGAGAGAGAACCCTGGAACGTGCTGCGTGTCTTGGCCGCCTTGTCACTAGCCCGTCTGGGTCCTGTTGCAACACAACCTTTCGAGTCTTCCTCACCAGAGCCGGAGCCTGGCTCCCTGGGAGATACCATGGTACCTTGTTTACTATGTACAAAACGTCTTGTGACGTTGTGAGATCAATCGGGATCGCTGAAAACGGACAGCTGAGTCCGCGGCCTGCTGGGGCTGGCATCCCAGTGCCCGTGTCATCCCGCTGCCGCTGCTGCTGCCCCAGGCTCTCAGGCTCCTAGGCTCCAAAGCCTCTCTTGCACCCCCCCCCCCGGCCACTTCCCCAATCCTCCCTCAACCCCTCCACCCGCGGCACACCGGCCCATCTTGCGAACGCTCCCAGCTCGGCGAGTCTGGATTTTTTGGGGGGGGTCACCTGGCCTAAAGGGGCAAGCCCGGCACGACGAGATAACTTCAAGAGATGTCCTTTATGGTTTGTGGTGCTAGAAAGTTCACTCGCGCCCGGTATCCAGGATGATAGTCCATCGAATCCTTCAGGCGTCGGGTGATCAACGGCGAGTTCCAATAGTCTCGGCCCCTAAAACACCACCTGCATTCTTGTATGATGGCGAGGAAGCCGCCCGCACATTCCCTCCAGTTGGAAACGACGCGGCCATCCAAGTGGTTCCGGCCCATGTCTGCAGCGTGGGGACCCTCTACGACCCATGCAACATGCTTTCTTCCCTCGCTGCACGAGACAGGTGCATTATGCTGTGCGAGGGAGGATTGCAGCCGCCTCACAGTTGCAAGTTGCACTGTGCTTAGGTGCATCTTCCCCCTTCCTACCCTCCCCGGGCGCTCGCTGCCTTCTTTTCACCACGAGCTTTGCTTGTATTTCTCCCTTTCTCTCCCCAACCCGCAATCGCGCGCGCGCACGCTGCTGCTGCTGCTGCTGCTGCTGCTGCTGGTGGTGGCATTCGTCACACGGCTTTTTGCAGGGCTCTTGACTACATATACACACACACATCTACACACATTGTCTGCTCCCCGGAAAATCTGGGGAGCCTACTATGGTACTAGGCACATCTCATCCTTCCCAAGCAGGCCCTTCTTTTAAACCCCACTACCAACGTTCAATCTCGGGCTTTAGGCAGGAGCTGAAAATCCAAACCAAAATTCCTGCCCACAATTCTCCATCACGACATGTTTCTCCACCAGGCATGCCACCCGGTGTTGGCACCCCCGTTCTCACCCGCCTGCAGATTACAGGGGCTCTGTTCGCACTGGGCGCTTCCCGGTCAATTCCCATCTCCGTCCGCCCCACACCTGCTGGAATTCCAGATTTTCATTCGTTATGTTTCGAGCTGTCCTGTCCCTCTAGAATTCACCGTTGGCGAAGACCACGCCTTCTGCTTGGTACCATAGTCCTCAACCACGGGGGCAGCCTTCGGCACAGCGCACTGTCCCAGCGCCCGCAATTGATAGTGTTTCCAGTTGGGTCCCGCGGACCAAGCTAACAAGAGTTTGCCGAAGCAGGTCGCACCGTCATCTTAGGGCTGTCTCCACACGATACGAAGCAAAGTAGTCGGGATCCAAAGCGATTTGCACACACAAGACAGTGACACTTGACAGCCAGCCTTCTTCGATCTCTGCCACGGCCCTAGAAGGTGCACGGAGACCTCTTGTGTCAGGGCCACACACGGATAACCCTGGATCCAGAAGGGTAAGGAAACATCCGTCCCCAACTGTCAGAAACATTCCAGTGCGTTGCAATTGTTGCACCGGTTACCACAAGCCCGCAGCCCTTTTTCCTGCCCCTCTCCCCCCGGATCCCTTGTCTGATCTCGACACAATCGAATTATTCAAAAGATTCCCGTGTCCTTAGAAAGCCCGACGTTCGGCTGGGGCTCTCATTAGCTAGTGCGATTCGGTTCGCGAGAGACAGAGAGTGTTCGACTGACCTCTCCGCCGAGAAGAAAGCCTCCCCCTACCCTGGTCGTACCCTGGCTCTTTCCCCTCCCTCCATCACGCCCGCACTGTACTGTCCGTCGAGAACGGGTGGTATTGGGGACGTTTTAGCTGCAGGTGGTGCCGCAACTACTGCAGAGGGGGTGCGCGCTCTGCTACGTCCTGCTACGTCCTGCTACGTCCTGCTACGTCCTGCTACGTCCTGCCCCAGCCCTCCCACCTTCCCAGCTTCGGCCTGAACCCAGACCCCTGCCCCCTGCCCGCCACACACCCCTTCGGCCCTCTAGGCCCTTTCTCCTCCATGAGAAAACAGCTAAGGCTGCCCACCCCGCCCTCCGTTTTTAACCCTGTGGCCGTGGCCCGCTGCCCGTGTGCTACCACCTCGCTATCCTCTTTTCATTCAGTCCACAGTCCCTCAAAGCCTGATCAGTCAAGGTGTCTGGAGCTGACATATGTGCTGCCTTCTCTACAGGGAATCGCAGGGCCAAATACGTGCTCGACTCGTTCCGACTCACTTTTCCTTTTGGATCAAATCTTGACATCGCATCGCGTCGTCCACACACAACAAGGGCGCTGCCGCTTGTGTCACTTTGTCTCTTTTCCCACTCAATCTCACCCTTCTTTCCAGCAGGAGCAGCTTGGTGGCAGCCGACGCGTGCTGACTCGCGCCAAATAAACCTTGAAGGCTTTCTTTGTCAGACAAAAGCAAATAAAAGTCGATTCCTCGCTTCCTTTCCCGGAAACGCCAGACTCGATCCAGCGGGCGCCCAACCAGGTTTCTGCGACAGTCACCTCCCACAGAGCCTCCTCCGCTCGACGCCAGATCCAGTTAAGGCCATCGGCACCACACTCAAAACAGTATCTCCACCAACTTACCTTTTTAAGCTTTTGGTGATACCATTCAAGACAACATGGCCGACATCACAGACCAACACGACCAGACCTCGCCCACTGAGCTCGACGACCACGCCGGGAACGGCACACCTGGCGACGTCTCCCGCGGCGTCAAGCGGGCACGTCCTTCCGCCGGCAGCGACGATGACGACGATGAGAAGGGCGGTCGTGAGCGCCGCAAGATCGAGATCAAGTTCATCGCTGACAAGTCGCGTCGCCACATCACCTTCTCGAAGCGCAAGGCTGGTATCATGAAGAAGGTGAGGACTTACTCTTCCCGCCCGCTCAGAAGAAACCTATTCGTCCCTTCATCCACCACCCACTCAAGTGTCCTAGAGCAATCGACACTCGTCCTTTTTTTTTTTTTTTTTTTTTTTTAATCTTTTCAGGGAACGTGTGAAAAGGCGGCGCGTCGCCTCTTTCAATGTCGGATTGTTGTGCTAACGGCAACATGCGAAACAGGCCTACGAGTTGTCCGTCCTCACCGGTACACAGGTGCTACTGCTCGTCGTCTCGGAGACAGGGCTGGTCTATACCTTCACGACGCCGAAGCTGCAACCCCTCGTCACCAAGGCAGAGGGCAAGAATCTTATCCAGGTAGGCACTACACAACAACGTCGCACTCATCCCCCCACGAGGCTCTCGGCAGATTTACTGACTGTCGACTTTGACGCAGGCCTGCCTAAATGCACCCGAGCCCAATCAGGGCAACGACAACGGCGTCGACGAGGGCGCCCAGGTTGAGTCCCCCGAGGAGCCTCCCAACAGCCACATGCAGCAGCAACCAGGTCGAGGCATGCCGCCAAATCCCCACATGCCGCCTGGCTATATGCCCAACGTCGGACCTATCGATCCATCGTCGGCGCTGGCGTACTCCAGCTACGTGCAGCGTGGCGGGCAGTACGGTATGCCACCCTCTGGCATGCCGCAGCATGCCCAACACCAGTCATAAGAAGGGGTGCTCAGCCTGTGACGAGGCCCCCTCCTTCTGAAGCATGCTCTCGATCCACGCCGATGATACCCCCTCTACACACCTCTACACACTTTGATTCTCGAGACGGCTGCGACTCACTTCCCTGGACAACGACGTCTGCCACAGCTGCAGCACCTCATGATCTGGCGTTTCCTGGTACCAGCGCACAGTTCCTCTACCGATGGGGGAGCCTCCCTTTCTCTCCCTCAATTCACGAACTTCTCTCTCTTTCATTGTTCTGTCCTTTTCTTCTTATTTTCTTTTCCTTTCCTATCCCATCCCCACTACTCTCTCTTTGATGCACGGTTCAGGTGGAACTGGTGCAGCCTAATTGCCGATCCCATGATCACATTGATGGTAGCCGAAGGGGCTGATTACTGATTGGTACACCAACCTACCAGAGGATGCCGCCTCGGTCCATTCTGATAAAGACTAAGAAGAAAAAAAGAAGAAGAAAAAAATCGCCGCGCGAGCTCTTGGCGCGTTCCTTGCATCTGCAAAAGTCGCACAGTAAGCCTTATCATGGTCTCATCTCTTCAGGGGTCTGTTGGGAGCATCGGTTTGCTTGACACAGCAAGCAGGCTGGAGCGGGCAATTAATTTCATGAAAGGCGTGCCAATTGAACGCAAGGCAGGACGGAAGCTCACCTGTCGTTGATGTTGCATGGGAAAGGAAAGGTCCAAATGGTGGCACCCTGTGCCCTGCTCATCATGCCTTGGACTTTTCCTCTCCTACGCCCTGGGCCAGGTAGTCTTGATGAATCTCTTGCTCATGATTGGCGCTAGTTGAGGTTTTTTTTTTTTTTTTTTTTTTTTTTTTTTTGAAATGGTTCACGTTTTCGCGTTGGAGGATGAGGGAATGAGGAAAAGAGAGAGCTCCACTTGAGCACCTTGTACGATAAGTTTCCGTCACCGTTGCCGCCATAGATGCTAAGGTCTGCCCTATGGTAGACAATTGTTTCTTAATGCACCCAATGATTTATTCACAAAGGTTTATGACATCGCATCTGAGGCGGTCAAGTAATACTTATGTCTGAAGTACGCGCAGTGGCTGCGAGTAAATGTCTCTCGGGAGCCTGAGTAAGGGTTTTGGTGCGTGGTTTGTAATTTTGTCTGAATTCTCTGTTCTTGATGGCAGAGACACAGTTTGTTTTATGACATTTCTTTTCCGTAAGAAATGGGAGAAAAGGAGAGGGGAAAGGTAAATCTCGACGCTGGGCTACGAAGGAGACAAGGCAACTTTCGCCCAAGATGGTAACTAACACGAAAGGCCGCTTTACCTAGAATGGGGACGGATGGCCGCCGCTCAATCAACCCCTTTTGGCCAAGACGTAGGTCAGCGACTTAGTCGTAATAGAATTGAAAGGAGAGGTGATGAAGATACATGTTGCTCTCGCACATATAAACAAGACTGCTATGAACTCGTTGGATATAGAACTCAGTGCTGTGTTTTTTCTTCTTGTTTTTTTCTCTCTCCTTTTTCTTCCTCTTCTTTCTTTCCTTCCCTAACCCCTTCTCTGGTCTCTCCGCCCACCAATCTTGCTGCCTCGGATTTGGCTCACTTCAAGTTTTCTTCTAGGATATTGTGGGAAGATCATGGTTTCTCGGGTTTTTCAGAGAGAGGCAGGGGCGGATTCACAGGGCAAGACCAAGATGATCAACGAAGAGGGAGACTTTCTTCTGTCGAGGGGCGGGGGATGCGGTGACGGTTCTAGAGATGGATAGATTGGCTGAACCGGAAAAAGGTTTCAGGGGGGAAGGGGGCGGGAAGCGAAGACGGCTAGAATGGGTGTTTCTGTCCCTTTTCTTTTCTTTTCTCATTTTATGGGTTGGGGGGGGGGGGGAACCATGTAATTTGTTTGAAATAATGGCGCGTTGTAGTGAAGTAAGTCTATGTGGGAATATGCTAGAATGCTATGCTACGTGCTGGCTCGATCGAGGTAGGGGAGGGGAGGGAGGAGAGGTGTGGTAGATGATGAGGTGACTGGGATGAAGATGTTACATCTATGCCTATGCAGAAGGGAGACCCTAGAGAGTCCGTCATCTTCAAAGTGGGCAACAATTCTGCAACTGCTGCAGGGATCTCGAGTCTCGAGTATGTCGTAATGGTAATCTGTTCACGGTGCACAGTGCATGGTCCTTTACAAACTCAAAATTCTCCTCTTGGGCTATGGCGCTGATGATCTTAGGAGACGAGTTGCACACACACACACACACCCCCCGCTGGTTCCTCTTCCCTACTCCAGCTTGCGCACATATTCCACGGGCCCCTCATACACATACCTCCCCTTGAACAAGTAATAAACCACCGACCCAGTCACCACAGTCCCATAGATGAGAATATTCCAGTTCATCTCCTCCGGGTCCGGATTCTTCACCTCGGGGAAAAACGCAAGGATGAACATGACCACCAGGAAGACCTCCGAGACAAGGTTGACGGCCAGTCCCCACCTGCCCAGGCTGAACTTGGACGGCAGCAGAGGCTGGCCGGTGATGCGGCGCCAGGCCATGCAGCCGATAGAGCACATGTAGCTGGACAGCAGGGCGTTTGTGCTCAGCGACACGATGGAGTTGAGGGCGACGGAGGAGCCGATGTTGATGAGGCACAGGAGGCAGGTCACGATGAAGGTGGTGAGGATGGCGTTGACGGGGATGTCGTGCGAGACTCTGGAGAACCAGGAGCTGCAGGGCACGCCGTTGTCGCGGGCAAAGGCGAAGAGCTGGCGGGAGGCGGTGGCCACCATGGTCAGGTTGCAGAAGTTGAACATGAGGGCGATCCAGACGGCCATGGCGGTGGCGCCCTTTGCGCTCTGGGTCGAGTTGAGGAAGACGGCCATGTATGGATAGCCAGTCGGGCTGGCGAGGACGTCCGTTACGTTGCCGAGACAGAAGCAGATGGTGATGACCGTGATCCAGGCGAAGAGGCCGTTGAAGAAGCTGGTCATGATCATGGAGAGGGGGAGGGTTCTAAAACCGAAAAAAAGAAGAGGGAGAGCCAAAGTTAGAGAGCCATGTCTGAGTAAGGACGACGACGACGTGCTTGAGAGAAGGACGGGTGGGGGGAGGGGGGGCGGAGATCATTCTTACTTTCCGGCATCCCTCAACTCTTCAGACATGTGGACAGCCGCATCAGCACCCAGGTTGGGCACGATAGCAGCCGTGATGCCGACAAGAGCGCTGCCCCCTAGGCTTCCCCAGCCTCCGCCATCAGAGAACTGCGTAAACACCGTCTTGGCGTCGGCGATGGGGGACAGCACCCAGAGAGTGACAAGTACGCCAAAGAAGGACGACACATGAAGCACAAGGATGATGCCCTCGACGAGCGCCAGTTTGCGTGCGAGCAGCGTGTTGAACATGACGGCGAACGCGCCGCTTGCTATGCTGAGGAGGGTGCCCTTGTCAAAGTGTTAGAAGAAGAGAATATGAAAACGATCACTGCGAACGGCGAAGAGGCCGTCCGGGGTGGTAGAAGGGTGGTACACTCTACGTACATGCCAGTTCTCATAGACATAGTTGGGATTGCCCAGGACAATCAGACCCTGAATGCTTGTACCGGCCATGAAGGCAGTGCTGGCACAACCAGCCTGCCATCCGAGCACGCAGAGCCAGCCCATGATATAACTGATCTGTTTCTGGTATTTTCTGGGAGCGAACTCGGAGACCCAGTGGTATTGACCACCCGAGGTAGGGGCCATTGATCCCACTGTTCAGAATGGATTAGGACCGGTTCGTTTCCTGAAAAGTGAAGCAGGCTGATAGACGAGATGGTCATCTCAAGGCAGAATATTAGGGTAAAGGGTTGCATGTCCTGGAGTCAACCTACTTTCTGCCATCGAGATGTTGATGAACATGAATCCAACCCAACAGCAGAGAAAAACCCAGATGAGACCTGCAGTGCCCCCGTTGAGGAGACCCATAGACAGCATGGCCAGGGCGACCTCCCATGACGATCCCAAAATCATGGAAAAGCCAAACATGGAGATGAAGCGGAAATCTCTCTAATAGAAGAAGAAGAAGAGTATGAAGCACCCCTCATCATCAGTGAATAATTCTTGGATTTTACTTTTGTGGGGGGGCGGGGCGAATTAAAAGAGGTTCAGATAGTAGAACTGTTTGGAAGTATGCATCAACATACCCGTAGTTGCTGGGTCTTCCCTAGACGCAGCATGTGAGCTCTATCGTCTTGGTTTCCCTTCTTGCTGTCGACGACATTTTCGTCAGAAAGATCCTGTTCCATGCTCAGCTCCGAGTCCACAATGTCTGGTCTGGTTTTGGTGTCGACGGCCATTGTGCATCGGAGTATTGAGTCCACGAGAAATTGCCCCTTTTGTATGAGTAGTTGTTGTCAAAATCTTCTTCTGCAGGACGAAAAAGACTATGAAGCCATGTAGTAATGATAATATCAATACAGAAATTTGACGATGACGATGGCAGCAACAACGACAAAAAGAACAACCACAAGATGGTCAGTCTACCTGTCTTCCAGACTTCTTGCTTGAAATTGGGCGCGCCAGGATGACCGCAGCAAGAGAGAATCATCTGATAAATGGCCCTGATCAATAAAATGGGAGACACACGTTATTGAGAGCACTCTCTTCTCCGGTTGTCGCATGTTCGTTCTTTCGGTGGCGTCGTACCCCCACAGGCATTGAACGGCGGTACGGTTCTTTTGCTCCTCCTCCACCAGAGTATTATCCACAAAAAAAGGGAAGGGGTTAAGAGAGGGGAGAAGGGAGAGCCGGGGTCTTGTCCGGTTGGAGCAACAGCAGAACCTCCTGCAAGGCTTTCCCAAAATCGTCCTGGCGAGAGAGGAGAGAGACGGCCTGCATTACCACCCTGGCAAGCCCTGGTAACAAGCATTAAATGCCCACACAGTATCATGGCTCTATGCCCACACCGCCGTTGTTCTTGTTGGATGCATCACCCAAGGTCTTCTCCCTCCCATTCGTCGCTGGTTTTCTCATCATTGTCAATAGCAATAGGAATGGCATGACCGATGCGTGTGTCTATATGTGCCATGTACACACACCCACCCACCCCGCCACGGCTATCGTCTTGTTACATGATTAGTCTCTGGGTCGGCCCTTGACGGCCTATTCTTGTGGGTCTTTTCTTCGGCAGCAATGGTTTCCCTGTTGCAGCACCCACCAACTCTCACGCGCACCTGTGGCGTATGCATGCATGGGAAGACACGAGAGGGGGCACACTTATGGGTCTGGCTTTCCTCTCTATCAACGAGGAGCCCCCTTTCTCGATCACTTCCAAATAAGTACAAACAAACACTCACATGACTGATTGCTGAGCCTCAGATTCAAGACGCAGAGTGTGTTTGCTTTTACCTTCCCACATCTCGAAGATGATAAGAGCGTTGCGGGGTGCTTCAGAAACCATCGCCAGCTCCCGAGCCTCCAAGCTTGTTTGCTTGCCTTTCTAAGACCTAGGAATATCCAACGAACACCACCCCCTCCGCCTTCTCCATCATGTGTCGACCCAAAGTGCGCGATGCATCTTACCATGACATTCCGCAGATCGCCGAGTCCTTGGCCCAGGCCTTTTGGGACGACAACATGCTCGGGGACCTCGTGCACCCGCACCGCGACGAGTTCCCCGACGACATGAAGCTCTACTGGCTGCGCAGTGCGCGGGTCAACTGGTGGGACTGGCGCTGGAAGTTCCTCGTGGCCGTCCATCAGGATGAGGAGACGGGGCGGGAGATTGTCGTGGGTTGTGCGCAGTGGACGCGCCTGGGAAATGGAGGGAAAAAGATGGAGCTCTGGAAGCTCGACCCTCGTGAGTTTCCTTTTTTTTTTTTCTTTCCTTCTCTTCTTTTTTGTTGTTGTTCCCTATATCATGTCAAGAATATGCAATATCGCGAGAGAGGAACACTCTCTTTCATCCACCCACCAAGACGAAAGAGAATAAGGAAAAAGAAATCCACCGTTGCTGAGAAAGAAACCCTGCTGAGTTCTCCTCCCCCTCCCCCTTCCCAACAGGCAACCTCCTCAAACCGGCATCCAAAGTCGCCATGAAGATCCACAAGCGCCTCTGGCCCAACCGCGCCGCGGACCCACCACAAGAGGACATCCTGGATCGAGCCCACCCGCACTTTGAGCATATGTACACAGGCGAGCGGGCTGAGTGCTGGTACCTGAGCTGGCTCGGCGTGCACCCGGACTATCAGGGCCAGGGCTTTGGTCGCGAGCTCGTGCGGTGGGGTCTGGACAGGGCCGAGGCGGAGGGCGCGTGGGCCTCTGTGATCGCCTCCAAGGGCAAGGACCCATTCTATAGGAAGTGTGGGTTTGAGTTCATCGAGGGGAGCGGCGGCATGGGGGAGGGGAACCCGCTGGCTGATGTGGAGGGGGCCAATATGCACTGGAAGACGCCGGATGGGAAGAAGCGTGTGTGAATGACGAGATGTGACGTGTTGGAATTTTGAGGGAAGAGAACAAGTTGTCTATGGCTTAGGGAGAGTTGCTCACAAATCTTACCTCTCCAAAAATAATAATCCTGAAAATGTTACCTGGTCTTCTTGGGAGGGAAACATCTTGCGCGTACATCTCGGCTATGCCAATAAGATAAACGAGGCCCCCGTAACTATTTACGCGTTGCGGAGCCCCCCCAATCCGTATCATGGTAGAGTGACATTCCCGCATCCCTCGTCCCTGCGCACGTACGTCCTCTCAAAAACAGCATTGGCATGGACCAGTATCGAGGACGTGCAGAATGATCCGCTCACTTGTTAGTTGTGGAATAATTTTTTCTGGATACCAACCACTTGCGACAGCGCTCGATAGTATATGTCTGTGACCGGATGTCAGTCACTGTACCACAAGTAAAAGTAAAAGTACAGTGAATCACTCCTTGTCTTGCAAGGCCCATGCCCGAAAAGACGCATAAACGTTCATCTTAAAGGACACTCCCAAACCACTACTTGCTTTCACTCTTCCTGGTCAGGAGTGTTAATTCTCATTTCTCCTTTTGACTCGTCAAGTCTTGTAAGTGTTATCTGATCACTGTTTTTGGTTTGCCAATTTCCATTGCTCCGCCCTTCAGCCAGCCACATCATCATCATCATCATTATCCTCTCGACACGCATCTCTCTTCCCTTCTCACTCTAGGTTTTCAGCCGTCGGAGGAAACCATCACACCACAGGCAGGAAACTATGGTCATGCCTGTGAGGAAAGAAAAGGAAGAAGAAAAAAGACAGGAAAAAAGGAACGACCCATAGTACTTTTTAGTGGAACAGAAACCTCAATCAGGTGTCCAACACCGGCGTAGGAACCGACAGCGGGCCGCACAATCCTGGTGCCCCGGACCAATGAGAATCCTCTGCGCCAGTATATCAGGACCCAGTGTGCCCCAAACTACACCTAATACAAGATCACATTGCAACCATGGTGTGCACACAGTAGTGGGGGATTTTCCTTCTCTTCCCTTGTTACTTTTGATTTTCTTTTTGCGAAGGAGGGGAGCCCCCACCGTCGATTCATCTAGATGCACAGTGTCACTTGATATGACAAGAGAGAGAGTGCGTCTGTTCGCGGACCCCATGGTTGTCCCCTGGCGAAGGATTCAAAAGAGTTGCCACATCAGCTACCAGCATGCAGAGGGGGGTTTCTGCAGGGTCAAGGTATTCAGTATGTCGGCTGTCACTCGTAAGGCCGTCGTATTTACCGGCTAGACATTCCTTTCTCACAATACAACCTAGGGCACCACCTCTGTTCGCTAGACACGGGGCTCTCTCTCTCTCTCTCTCTCTCTCTCTCTCTCTCTCTCTCTCTCGCGAACTTGACAACCATATGTCTCTCGTTGAATGAGCTGAGTCGACCCCCTTCGGATCAAGTGAGAGTGGACAGATGTTTCGACTGATTTCGTTGTTTCCTAACAACTGGCCAACCTACAACCTGTACGTAGCACATGTTGTTTGTATAACGTATATGTAAACTGCTATAAAAGGCTGCCACGCCTTGCACGTCTCGTGGTCGTCCATTAGCCCTTTTACCCCTTCAGATCCTTTCTCAACCTTGCGGTCACGCCGAACTATCTTTCCCTGAGCTGTATAAGTGGTGACGCTCTGGCCCCTTTTCTAACAGGTCAAGATTGGAATGCTCATAACATGATTTATCGGTTATCTCGCGCTCCGTTTTCTTCTTTCTTTTCATCTTCTGCATATATACCCCAAAAAACGAAGTGAGTTATCTTGAACCAGAGGAGCGAGATCCAGGTTCCCTCCGTTCATTCAACTACCCATAGGTACAACAGTTGTCTCAAGACGCAACCGGATCAGCATTTCTCTTGCCCAACTTTGGAAGTGGCGCATGAGAGAAAGGGGGAGGATGAGGGAAATAAAGAAGAACTGAACCTGCATTTCCGAGAGGTAGGTCTCAAAGGGGGACCAACTGACGTGTCTAGCACTGGGGTCAGGCTATCTGTACCGAGTATGTATGCACAGCCTGTCCATGCAGAAAGAAAAAGACCCAGGGCAGTGCCGCAATTGGCCCCTGATAGAGAAATGAGTGCCAAACAAAGTGGATATTTTTACTTTACCAATCCTTCAAAGGAAATAGCTACATAGGAGTTACATAGCATCAAGCCTCGAAGTTGAGCTCTCTCGCTCTCTGGTGTCAAAGTGGATACAGGACAAGTGATGACCCCGGCGGTCTTCTGAGTGGAAAGTAGATCCCTCATGCAGGAGGAAGAGGGGAAAAAACGATAAGTTGCTGGGTTTGGGAAGGGGGGGGGGGTTATTGCTTCTTTTACCCATGGTAATTTGCAAAACCTGTGACCATGGATCCAAGGGCCTGGCTTGGTCTGATCCTAGTATTGTGTCGTTTTTGTGACCGCTTTCAGAGGAGGAATTCGGTACTGGATGGGGCTGGACTTGGGAAATAAGCACCAGATGTGCTTTGCTTTTTCCACATAGTTAGTATCCTCTTATTTTTATGTCTATGTTTGTCTCTACATCTTTCTGTTTACTTTTTCAAGGCTAGGCTGTGTCGAATTATGCGTCCAGTCCTAGACTATATCATTTATCAACTCCCTAGACCTCAGCCGTCACGGCACACCAAGCAACTACTTACCATAGTACTTGATCTCCCTCCCTTCACGAACCGACCCGCCGATCTCATATAGAGCACGACCCATTGCTACTCCGCCGTCCCACGGGGCGCGACGTCTCTCCGGCCCACAAGAGGTGACATCGAGAGAAGAGAGAGTTCCTCTTGAGTGTGTGTGTGTGTGTGAGAGAGAGAGAGAGAGAGAGAGAGAGAGACAGACCACTTCGAAAGTATGGACCCCCTACCCATCGCAGACGACCCGGTGGGTTCGCACCGACTCGTGCCGTCCGGGCCTGACAACCACGCCGGGTATGTCTGGATCGCCAGCATCCTGTGCTTGATCTATAGCGGTCTGGCTACCATCATCAGAACCGTGGTGAAATGGCACGTGTTCGGCCTAGATGACCACCTTCTATTCTTTGCCATGGTCCGTTTGTGTCCTCTCTTCCTCCCTCCTTTCCGTGTCTGTCTCAGGCTTACACACATGCAATGATCCAGTTCACGCACCTTGGGCAAGCAACAGCAGTGTTCTACGGTCTTCATCATGGACTTGGCAGGTCCAACTCAACGACGACAGCGCATGAGTGGTCAATATCAGGAAAGGTGAGTAGTGAGTGCATGCGACGTCGTCTGCCTGCGCTGGCTTAGACGGCTTGGGGGCCGGATTCGGCACTTGAGCACCCAGCCCTTGCATCGCTTCTGCATGTTCCTCCGCGGGACGCTAAAGAGAGTGCCGAGATGACTGACACGCGCGCACGAGAACAGGCCTTCCTCGCGTCGGAAATACTCGCCGTTATTGTTCTGTGTCTGGCCAAGTGCTCAACGGCAGCCTTGATACTTCGAATCTTCACAGCGGACGGGGAGCGTGGGAAACGCTGGGTCACCTGTTGGCTGGTCGTGGGAGCAAGCACCGCCTGGGGCATCGGCTCCGTCCTGGCTCTGGCCATCAGTTGTGATGCCAGCGCAGTGCTGACGACGGAGAATCTCTCCCAATGTCCAAACCAGGTAAGACGACGAATCCACCACTAGTAACCTCCCTCCTCCCCTCTCCAAACGCGCGTTGAGTCCCCATAGGTCTCTGATGTAAGAGGTTGAGAAGAAGAAAAACAAAACATGCAGATACATCGCTGGCAAGCCATCACCGCCCTCGATATTACCATAGACATCATCACATGCGCCCTGCCGGCCATCTTCACCTGGCCTATGAACATGCCGTCCCGGCTGAAGTTCAAGGTGACGGCGGCATTCATCTTCCGCGCGCTCTTCGTCGTGCTCTCGGGAATGCACCTCCACTACCTTCAGACATACGCCGGCGCCGCAGAGCCGCAGTTGGCCGTCACCGACGGTGCGGTGCTACAGCAGGCCATGATCGCCTGCACCATCATCTCGGCCACCGTGCCGAACCTGAAGGGCTTCATGAAGGCGTTCCACACGGGGATGGGCAACCTGGGGTTCGAGAGGCCCAGCCGAGGCGGGACCAAGAGCTCGAGCTATGCTCTGCAGACGATCGGGGGCTCGCTCATGAAGGGGGTGCGGGGTGCGGTCAGGCTGCCCTCGGACCGGAGCCGCGACCGCGACGAGATGAGCGATGGGCTTGGTGGCGAAGAAGAGGAGGCAGGTCCTCCTCGATTCCGTCCAGATATGTGCAGGCACGAGACGAGCGTGGTGCACTCGAACAACAGGAGCGGGACGACGGAAGAGGAGGAAGAGGAGGAAGGGAGAAGCCTGAGGAGAAGCGGGAGCCGGGAGCTCATCATCAGAAAGCAGGTAGACTGGAAAGTATCCCATGAGGCTCGATGAGCCTACTAATGTACTCTTCTCTCGCTCACATTACGGAGCGACCAGTCGACGACGGAGTTCTCTGTGATTGTGATCAAGTAAAGAACGAGAATGCCTATTCTCCTCGGCATGGTCAGTTTGCCTGAGTACGCAGCAGATCTCTCGAGGTAGTCCGGTGCGAACTCTGGTTGCTTTCTGTAAATATGAGCTAGGCTGCTGTCAATCCTGGAAGGTAAGGTAACGTGGTTCGTTGGAGCATTACTAGTCAAAAGAACGTCGTCGTTTGTTTGTGTGTTGATGACGACGATGATGACCTTTCCAGGCAAGCTAGCCCTAATGATTCACTTGTAGGTACTGTCGACACATGTGTTGGTGATTGCTCCTTCCAGTGCCCATATATGCTCTTGATAGGAAAGTCTAGACTTCTATCAGAAAGGCGGTGTTGAGATGAGCAGTCGTCTCTCCAGTTAGAGAAATCCCGACCCGGCTCCGGGTTTGTCGTGGGCGAGAAGAAGGGAAGGCGGGGGTTTTCAAAGTGGATCCATTGGTTGAGCATGTTTCTGCAGCACCATTTTAGCGGCCGCGGGGGGGGGGGTCCGTCAAGGTACCCGCAGATCTCAAGGTTGCTATCAACAGCCAGGGAAGGAAAAGAGGGGGAGGGGGAGAATGTAGGTCAGTTGTCTGCTTGCTCACGCTGAAGAGAGTAGACGGCGCCATTGAAAATGCACAGATGTTCAAACAGAATGTCATCATGTATCGGTAGTAGTAAATATTAATATTCGTCTAACGCTGGGAAGAATGAGATCTACGTGGACGACGCCGACCATGGTCCAAGTCCAGAACGCCGCCCCCCCCCCCCCTTTTTCAAGTAGAAAACCAGCCTCCAAACAAATTTTTGTCGTGAACATCGTTGTCTCATCGCACGAATGATCATCGTGCTGGCTTCATATGGTAAAATGAAATGCTACTCATCTCGTGCAGCACGCTGATTCAACACCGTCGTCCCGCAACGGCTCCTCTCTCTCGCAGCCGTTGCTCAGTGCTCCTGCACTGCGGCGTACCGGCCAATAGCCAGACTTCCGAGAAATGTACCACCGAGAATGGACAGGAAGTAGCCAATGTTCACCGTCATGACCGCCAACATGCTGTAGAGGTTGATTGTGTTAGCAGCCGGCCACCAGATAGACGTTTCATCAAGAAGAGAAGGGGTGAAGGTCCAAACTCACAGAAGATATCCGACACCCGCTATGGCAGTATCGATTGCCGCCCTTACGGGATCCACACTCGCCCTCCAAGGCCGAGTAATGCCGCCCCTCTTCTTGACCACCATAACCTGCTCCTCGACGCCGTTGGCGCTGAGAACCATGTTGTGCTTCAGGCTGTCCCGAGAAATGTTCTCGTGCATCGGCAGCTGCCCCTTGACGGCCACGTAGCGCCGGTTCATCTCCTCGTCCAGCCATCGCGACTCCGCAATGGCCTTGACCGCGAACAAGCCGCGGAAGATGGCCGCGAGGAAGATAAGGAAGAAGCACGTGCCCACATACTGGCCCATTGTGGTCGGTGTCCAGGCCTCGGCGTAGAGGGTCGTCGCCATATCATTCTGGAAGGCGACCATCATGGTGGCCATCGTGGTTGTGGTGTTGCTCATGGAGCTGCTGTCCATGCCCGATGTCATATCCATTTTGGAAAAAAAAAAGGCGAAGGATAAGATACTGTGGTAGTTTGTATTGTCGTTTCGTTGTAATTGGGTGTTTGGGAATTGACTTGGTTGACTTGACTGGTTTCTCTCAAGATGCCAAGCTTCTGTCAAGGTCGAACGCAGATATATATATGTCGAAGATGGATTTGTGACTTGCAGGTGAGTGCACAGTTCGGAGTCTTGATCCGAGCAAATATGAGAGAGTTTTGGGTGCTGCGCAGGTTTAGGATCCGTTACGGCCAGGTCAAGATGTCTTGTGGTGGGAAAAGAGGTAAAACATGCTCGAGAACATCATTTTCACGGGGAGGAGGGCGTCGAGGCTTTTTGCTGCTTTGGCCGCTATAGAGAGGAAAACTTGCTCAACTATACTCCGTGGTACTATGGTACTATTACAGCATTGTGAACGGAGTCTCGACCCTAGGGGTCCCATCAAGTTGTGGTCTCCGTTAGTGCCCAACTCCAAAACACGCCCAGTTCCTTAACTACGAAGGGAGAGCAACTTGCTCAGGCTAGACAGGGATCTGCCCCTCTGATGTGCCCTTGCCTCACCTTGTTCGGTTTAGCTCAGTCTCCTGTGGTGATCGAGCAAGTTCGAGGTACCAGGGACCAACCTTGACACTAACAGCCCTCTCGACAAAGCAACGACGTCCCATTTCTGGAGAGCGTGGCGGCAGATAAACTTTCCGATCTCACATCAAAGCACAAGCAAGCTTATTGCCACCAACTGCATACCATGCTCAGTTTCAGCTAATTGCAATTCTTGCCCCCAGATCTCAACCTCGAGTCCTCGTAATTCAGTAGCTACCTCTCACCTATGACCTCACCTCCAGCCACTGATTGACTGGCTGACTGATCTTGGTCTTCATCGAGACACCGGACAGGGTCCTCAGCCAGTCTTCGCGAGACGTGCGAGTGCAACTGCTGCTCCACGAACCTACGTCGTCGAACGAGCCTTAGATCGGAACAAAGTACAAGGTTCCCTCCTCCGGCATGTCCAGGTATCTGCATAAACTGTCTTGGCTTCGATCAAACTGTGCTTAAACTCTGGGCCGCGCTGCATTTAGCTAGATGTGGGGGTACGTTGGACTTAATCACGCCCTAGGGTCGAATCGACAGCCTCGTTGTATACGAGTCCAGCCTAATCGAACAAGCACATGCTGTGACAGCACTCAACTGACAGCGGGAGATCATCATCGTCACCAAATTGCCGCGGACGATGCGACAGTGCCTCCACCTTAGAGGAAGAAAGCCCCACGCGCCATGGCTAACCAGACGAAGTGGACCGTGTCGAGCGCTTGTGGCTCGCTACCTGTCCTTTATTTTTTGTATTCTGCAGCTGGATCTTGAGATTCCCCGACCGGTCCAAGACGGCAGAAGCTTAACATGCCTCGGGTGCCTGCCCTCCGCCTGGTGGATCCCGCAGATTGTTGTGTCCTTGTTGACTTCACTTTCGTCCCGGGTCTCAGGAAGTCCTGGCCTCAGGTCGAAATGTATGCCTCCAAGGGTGTGCGGCTATTTTGGCGGAACTATAGCAAGGATGCGCGAACCTGGGCAAGTACATCTTGTCATTACGTGCGGAGCGATTGTGGACTTCGCAATCTGGGAAGTGATATCTGGGTGCTTGTTTGCGAGAATTCACGCCTGGTCTAGCGATATATTCGCTCGGTCTTTACATTCGAGGCATCTTGATACACGCCCCTCTTGGCGATGGTAGAGGTGGCCTTTGTCCATGTTCAAGTGAGCATTCGAAACGGCATCGTCTGATCACAAGCGCGATGCTGCATAAATTGGTCTCCGTGGTGCACACCCGTCTATACAAGGAAGATATATCAGCGTGGGTGAGGTGGTAGCAATGGCAAAAGCCATGATTGATTTGCTCGGGCTTGTTGAATTGGTACCATGCAAGCACTAGTCCTTCGTTGCCCTCAAGACATTCGAGAATTCCTCTTGGACAGTGAGGCATTGTCCCATAAGCTGGGTCTAATTATGGGTCACTGCACGGGGACAAGACGGACGGTGAGTCGCCGATCTGTTTGATCAGATATGTACCAGTCATGCAGAATGCACTCAGTGCAGTGAAACAGCCTTGATGATTTCTGTTAGACTGTGTTGAATGGTCATGGCGAGGCAGGGACTTGGCCATTGTTTTGACACCATAACCACTGGCATGGTCCACAACTGTCGTCCTGCGCTAGGAGAAGAACGACTCGGACAAAGATACCTATTAATGCTAGCATGGCAATTGGCATCCTCGAATATATGGTTGTGAGGCAGTAGGATGTTTTTCTTGGATCAAGTGAGCGCAGTCGGCCCATGGACTTCTTGGCATTGTTCGCGATCCTACATATGAGAAGCAAAGAGGGACCTTGGTAGCACTACACATGTACACCGTTCAACTACGAGTTATCACTTGCACTGCTGACGGCAGGGCATCAACATGCAACTTTAAAAAATAGGACAGTCAGGCTGTCTCTTGATTACGTGCAGTAATTCGTGCACAGTACACGGGCCGGAGCGACCTCCCAACACTCGTTGATCTCTACCTCTCGAAACAGCCATGGCGATACGTCTAACACCCCTCCCCCCACCCCTTCTCAGTTCAATTTCACCAGCATTGACAACCTGCTGGAGACTTAGAATGAGTTAGCCATGGACCAGTGAGGGTCACTGTTCATGGAATGTACAATGCTGCCATGCGCGGGCCACGTGAAGGTCATGCATAATGGGTCAAGCAACATCAGAAACATTCCCGGCCTATTAGAAACCGCCTCTAGACCCTTTTTCTTCACGCTCTGAGGATAAGGAGTGGCTCCGAGCCCGTAGTCGAGATTTCACGGTCAGTTCCATATCTCTGGGCGGCTTTCTCCATGGGTTTTTACGTCTTTGACGGAGAACACTTGGTAAGCATCGAGAACTGCGTCTTCCAATGGTTCATCGCTGCTCATCAGATTCATTTTTCGGTGACCTAGATCAGAAATCTATACTAAACAAGTATGCTAAAACAATCAGTATTAATGAAGGTCCTCTTTCCGTAACGGCCTTTAGCCTTGGATATCTACCGCTCCAAAACGCTACGCAAGCTTGGCCTTTCAGGCCTATGAAGCCCAGCAGGAATAAGAACATCTTGATGCCTCCTTCAGGTAGGAACTATAAGCCTGGTGAAGCCCATTACTAGACGCCGGGTAGGAAAGCTATCAATTTCCTTGTATGATACTCGGCGTGGTCTTCCAAGGCAGCCGGGTCATGGTAGCCATCCAGAGGCGCTTTTCTTTTTGTTTCCTCTTGGAGATTGTTCTATTGTATTGAACGTAGTGTTGACCAATGCCGAATCCAGGCCCAGCTCCCATCAACAAAGTACTCCCCTCGGCAAGCTCTCGTTCGCCTGACCGCTTCCTAGTGTGTACTACCCTCACGCACTGGGGTATCCTTCCAAGCTGACGAGAGTACATACGTGTTAGCTACATACCTAATCTAATCTCAAAGATTTCGGCTCCACGGCATTGTCACGCACAATTCGCCAGCGGTGCTGCCGTACCACCTGGCATACTGCATGTCGCCGCAACCATGTTCTCAGTGTCACTTGCGAGCCCCTAGAACAAGAGCGGCACAGTCATCGCAGTCCGTGCTCGCTTGGGCTTCCGAGGCGGACAGGGAAGGAAAGAGAGAAAGAAGGACAGCTGGTGGAGCCTGGACTCGTACAGCAGCGGTAGAAGGGGACGCACAAATCCGAATGAATGCTGTTCGTTCCCGCAGCAGCGTAACCGTCATGGATCTCTCGACCTCATCTAAAGACCGCAAGGAGATGGTAATTAGAGCAATCTCCCTCACCGTCAATGGGATCCCCCCAATTCTCCCTGCTCTCCTTGTTCTTCTCATTCCATGTCGACATTGTCCCCATGTCCACAGGCTTCACATGACAGTGTGGGAAGAAAAGAAGCCAATAAGATGCATTATTTATCGAGATGAAGTTGCTGCTGTGTATTTGTGTCTATAATTACTGGTCTCGGGTTCTCCTCGAGGGCCATGTGCCTGCCTTGTGGACTCTACGCTTCAGCAGCCTCAGTGTTCCGAGCCAGCGGTGCTGTTCCTGGCCTGGTCGGAAATACTTCATAAAAAGAGGGCAAAAAGCTTGTGCAGCAAAAAGTTCAGTAGCCGACAATAGACACTCATTCCAGATGAGACTTGTAGAAGAGAATACAGCAGACTGGTCCTTGTTTTATGAAGCATTGAGAATTCAATGATAGCAATGGCTTGCTGCAGCAAGACGGTCTGAAAGAAAGAAGAAAAGAAGGGGAGAATAATTGTGTGCATTGGTCCCTTGATCTTGTCCCTCATGATTTTTCACTTCTCTCTTTTCTTTTCTTCTTTTTCTTTTCTTCCTTCAGACTTGAGAGCCCACAAATCTCGAGTGACAGCAACTGGGAGTGAAGTAGGCAGGATCTCTTGACTTCATTTAGCAACTGCTTGCAACAAAGGTCGGTTGCTGCTGCTGGTAGACACCGACTTGAGTGTGTACGGCGATCTATAGCGGAGTTCCAGGTAGGGAGACACGCCTTCCCTGTTCTGCGCAGGTCCTCAGGGCCCCTTCCCCTCTAAGCTCCCAAAGGCTGCAGCGCAGGATCTCATTCTTCTCTAAGAGAAGCCTAACCCGACGACCACGTTTTCTGCCTCTGCCTGCTACCATCCCCCATCCCCTCTTTCTTTCTCATTAACTGCAGACAATACAACTGCGATTTCAGACATCATATTGATGATAGCAGCAGCAGCAGCGACATGTAAGCTCTCCCTTTCCCACAAGGAACACAGCTGGCACCATAGTACGCTTCCTAAGTGCATGGGGTTTGGTGGTGGGCAGCACCAGCTTGCATCAAGTCATATTCGGAACCCATCCACTAGCTCAATCCGCTACATAAATAAGCCGGAGACAA